CCACCATAACGCTAGGTATTGGTAGTCTTCAGGATTTACTGAAAGAGTTATTGGTAGTTACTGAAAATAAATGACTTTTAATAACAACTTAATTATTTATCTCTAAGACTATGATCTTTCAATTTCATTTATATAGAGATTCATCTCACCAATAGTACAAGAGAAAGCAGAACAGATAAAAATTAGCTACTACTTATAACATTACTCCAGAACAGCTAGTGATATACCAAAGTTCTTGTCTCCATCTACTCTCCCAAGTATCAAAGGTTAGTTATATTTCTAACGCTAGTAAGTAAAACTATGATTCCTACAATCACCAAGGACTTATAGAAGCGATTTTAAAGTATATTTGATCCTAATTAGAACCTTTTAAAACTTTTACATACATAGAAATAAAAGTATGAAAAAGTGAATAAATACAGTACATTACATTTAACTTTACAAATAATTTATCAGCTTCCAGCCAATTTATTCTGAAAGTTTTTAAGACACGGATTACTCAAAACGACTTTACCTCAAATAATCAGGAAAATAAAAAAGTGATAATTAAGAATAAATGTTTTTCTTCCTCATCTCAGAAGACCAAGGAAGAAATAACTCAATTGCAAACCACATTATAGAATATGAGGCTTTCCACACCAAGTCTAATTTGATTCTCTGAAATTAATGGTATATTTAGAGAAGATACAGAAAAATATAAAGATGAAAAAAGCTCTAACTAAAAACAGCTCTGTCTTTGCCTTTAGGGGAGATAGTGGTCCTCCTCGATCTCCAGTCACTAAGAATACTTGAAATTTTCCACAAATATACATCAGAAAGTTTTTCAGGGGTAAAAAAAAAAAATTTTTTTTTTGACAAAAATGGTCATATTCAGAAGACACTCCATGGACCTGAAAAGTGACGTTTTCCCCAAATATTTGTTCCTTATTCATAAAATTCAAATAGTGTCAATAAATAGATGCCCAACCCCCTCGTTTGTAAATCAGAGAAGAAGTGAAAAGCAGCCACTGTCACTATACTACAGAGAAATGGAAAATGATTGAAGGGATTTAAGAAAAAATTCTGGCAGAATGATTTTTTTTTTTTTTTAGCTGAGCCACCCTGCCACCTGTTGGCAGCTCAGTGGCAGCTCAGCTCTGCTGGGCATCGAACCGCTGTTGCTCAGAGCTTGCACTCTTGAGCAAGCTCTTAACCAACTGAGCCACTCAGCTGGCCCCAGAATGATTTTTTTAAATTCAATATTGTCTTTCATAAAATAAAATCACTCAACTTACGTCCGTTCAAAGATATACTGTTTAAAGAGGGGTAAAAATTATCACCGTCTACCACCTAGCTATTAGCTCATCCTGTTTTCCCTGATTAGCAAGTCATGCTCCCCATTTAGTAAGGGTCTCAAACTCACATGAAGCCAGGCCAGGCGAGTGCCATTAGTTAAGTGCAGCAAGTATTGGGCTGTCAGAAAAGTAATGACGCATTTTTGCAACGAAAAACATAGAAAAAGTATGTCATGACTTTTCCGACAACCCAATAGGTGGGAACTACGAACTACACATAAGAGCTTCGTGCAGCTGCATCTAGACTCCAGCTCTCCATCCGCTTATTGCTATGAGTAATGCAGCTCTGGTGATACAAGATCTTCCAATTTTTCCTAAGAGAAGCCAGAAATCCAACTCATGCAAAATCTTTCATTTTTAAATGCTGGCAATTAAGACAGAAACAAACAATAAACACAGTGCTTGCAAACTGAATTTGGCCTTGCTACCAGCAATAATGCTCTAGTAACAGAAGCCTCAGTAAGTATCTCAAATATTCAACTCCCAGACCCCAAACTCCCCAGGACTATTACACCCACATTTCATACTGAAGATGGATTCTCCACGTAGTCAAGAACATTAGTGGTAATCTTTCTCTCTTGAAGGCTAATTTTTGGGTTAATTTTTAAAAAATACTACTACTTTAATTTACTATTTTAAAGTATAGATTTTAAGAAAAAATCAAAACAATTAACATTGAAGTGGCTGAATTTAGAATTATATTAGTAAAACTAGAATTATAATATGTATAAAATGTATACATATTAAAACTCATTTAAAAAATATTACAATGTTTTACAAACTATGTAAGTTGGGTAAATGAAGTGTCAATCCGCTCCATCCTTAGAAAGCAACCGCTTGAGCTCTTTGGCATCTCTCGATGAGACATGCAGAGCTGGTAGTCCTTGATGGGTCACCTCCACTTTAGCAACATGAAAAGGGCAAAATAAATGAAGGAGGGAGGAAGTGACAACATTAATTGGCAAGATATTTCTGTTATATAAGTGCCAAAGGATTGTAAGACTCAATACAACTTTCTTTACTACTTTAGTTCTACTAAGATTAGATGACTAAAATGGATAAACTAACAAGACCTATTTGGAAACAAAATCTGCTGGATTAAAAAAGAAATGTTATATGGAGCAGCACTCAAAGGTTTAAACCCTTATGAACAAGGCAGTATAGTTTAAGAAAAAGGCAGCCTGGCTTTATCAGAGCTGGATTTCACCACTTGACAGCTGTGTGACTTTAAGCAAGTTATTTAACCACTCTGAGCACTATTCCCTCATCTACAAAAAAGGATAAACACTAGTTACTTTAACTCTCTCATTATGAGAGTTGTAATATATCTTAAATGTGTTTTAATTCATGCTCTTAGCTGAAACTTGAATCCTATCCACCATACTAGTAGTTTAAGACACTTCCAGTAGAACAGCTACACAGACAAGAGAATTCAACCCTTCCTAAATTAGTCTTTTTAATCCTCTCACTTCTATTATTTTCTTTTACTAAACTAAAATCAACTTCTTAGTTACTTCAACCCCATCAATCACATTCTAGTTTAAATATTATTAAGTATAGCTAACTCAATTCTCACTAAACTCTAAGCTCCACAAGGGTTGAGGCTGGCTGTTCAGTATTGAAGCCCTAGCACTTAGAACAATAAGCACATAGTAGTTGTATAATAAATATTTGCAGATTGAGTGATATGTCTGTGCAGTATTTAGTGACTGACCATTGAAATGCCTTTTAATATAAAGAGCATAAATGTGTACACTTCTGGAGGGATCAGTTAAGGTTTAAAAGTTGAAATATCATACATAACCAAAATCATGCTATGTTTTTTTTTTTAAATCCCTTTGGATATAGTATATGAAAGCAATTTTGCTATTAATTTAAATGGTGATACTATTCAGTGATATAGATGATAAAATTTCTTCAAAGCAATAAACCTATTAATGGCTCCATAACTTCCTTCAGATTTACCTGAATTCCAACTCTGCATTAAAAAAAAAAAACAAAAACCAAAAAAAAAAAATCCTCAAAAACAACCCCCTCAAAATGATATGCAACCTCACTGTCACTGGCTACTCTGCAAATAACCCCCAAATAATAACTAAGTCAAATTTTATTATCTGAAACGTACCCAGAAAATATCAGAATCAAAGTTGTGATAGAATACCAAAATCTGTAACAGCTTTTCTCCTGACTTTCTTAGCAACATGCTACTATAAACCTCTCACTTCTTAAACACGAGAACGCATTTATAATTTAGTCACTTGTATTCCAGAACTTAAAGAGCAGGTCTCATAAATTAAATTCTACTTCACAGAACAGGAAATCAAACACAGTGAACTATCCTCTGCAAATCTATGGAAGTATTTCCATTATAAAGTAAATTTCTCTGCCACCTGACAGCTTTGACTTAACTCTGGGCTACTACTAGCCTAAACAAAACATAATAAGGAAGGTAAATCTGCCATATACACAATGCAATAATCCAAACATAAAATATTTCTGGATTATCTGGGTCACTGATGCTTGAGACTATAACAGAAAATTAGTGATCTAGAAATAGGCAACTTCTACCAAAAGGCAGTTGGCAAGGCAAATACCAGACTGACATGATTTTATAATAAAGGGCAAAATTCAAAAGTGTCAAACATTTTAATGAACACAGATTAAAGGAAGGCAGAAGGTGAAATTAAAAATGCATCTGTTTTAGAAGAAATACCTATGTATGGCCCTTTTCACTCCAGTAACAAGTCCTCCCGGACCCAAGTGTGGCCCTACAAAACTCAAAACTTCCTTTTCTCTTCTACTTCTACACACACACACACACACACACACACACACACGCACACAAGTGCGCACACGTATGTGAATCGAAACAGAATAGTACCTAAAATTAAGCCACCAGTTACAGGAGGGCTGTAAAAAGTTAAAATCACGATCTATCATTAACATTCTATCTGCAGGGTGATGTCAGGTACCGTGCAAGGAACTTACAGCCACGGAGAGTCGGCACATGAGGGGCAGAGTCTGAGTCTGTGCTCCGGAACCTATCCCCAAAGAGCAGATGACACTCACACAAAACGTACCGAGTACTACAACAGCACGTGCAAGCTCCGGACTCGACTCCGATTTGCCGCGGAAAAGGATTCCTTTACAACAGATACGACCTCTGCCCCGAAAGCTGTCTCAGCCACCGCGGTCTGCAGCTGCAAAGCCTTACAGCTCTGGGCCACCACCAGCACCTTCTTTCCTGCCTGTTCTCTGCGTCCAAAAGCAAAGTCTCAACGTGGCCAAGGTGATGCTGCAAAGTGCCCTCAATGCAGCAACCACAGACAGGAAGAGTTTCTCAACAGCCCCGGCGCGGACTCCCTTCCGTTTTCAATACGTGGCTCCCACCCGTGCTGACAGCACCCTGCGTGCCCAAGAACACGCGAAAAGGTGTCTAGCTCATGTTCATTAACGACCTTTGGAAGCAAAGCAGCAGCGCGCTACCGGCCTGTACCCAGGGCCCTGTCCAGGGTTGTGAAGGTCCCCGGAAAGGCAGGGGCTGCGGAGAAGCCTTCGCCCTTCCCACTCCACAGGGCGGCAGCCTCCCGCCCACGCCCAGCCTCCCCGCAGCGAGGCCCCCGCACCTGTGGGATACCACCCCCCCGCCCCCCACCTGCCTCTCACCTGATCTTGTAACTCGGGAGCGTGTGCTTGCGCTTGATGATCTTCTTGAGCTGGTTGACGATGATGGACGTGAGCTGGGGCATGGGCCGCCCTTCAAACTGGGAACGCACCTCGAAGTCGATCAGCGGGTCCTCCACGAAGGAGAAGAACCAGTGGGTGAAGGGCACGCGAGTGAGGACGAAGCGCAGCCTCCCCGCCACTCGGGACAGCTTGACGAACAGGTAGGCGGACTTGCCGAAGACTAGGTCCACGTCGATGGCCAGGTGGAAGCCCCCGTTGTACTCCACCTCCGCCTCGAAGGCCAGCTCCTCGGGGGTGGTGGCGGGCAGCGCCTCCCCCTCGGGGCCGTCGTGCTCTCCGGTGGCCGAGGGCACCACGGGCCGGAGGAGCCGGATGGTCTTGATGAAGGGCACGGTCTCGCCCAGGAACACCTCCCGCAGGCTCAGCCCCTCCAGCAGGCGCCCGGCCGTCTTGGTCTGCAGCAGCTCCTCGAACTCCACCTTGATCTTCTTGGTGACCCAGCGGCGGGCCAGCGCGGTGTCCCGAAGCTCCCGGAACAGGAACAGGATGGTGGCGTTGAGGAAGTAGCAGGTCTCCCGCGTCGGCGGGGAGGGGGTCTCGGGGGCCGGGGTCGGGGTCGCGCCGCCCTCGGGGGGCCCGCCGGAGGGCTCCTCAGCCCCGCCGCCGCCATAAAGGTACTCCCGCAGGGCCAGGCCCGGCACCGGCTTGATGTAGCGGAAGCCGTCGCCCGCGCGGGCGGCCTCGTCCGCCGGCGGCTCGGGCTGTCGGCGGTAAAGCAGCAGGAACTGGGTGAGGAGCGTGAGGAAGGAGCCCAGCACGGCCGATGCCAGGATCATGAGCAGCAACCCCATCCCGCCACCGCCTCCGCCCGGGCCGCCCGCGCCGCTGCTCCCGCGCCCGCAGCGCCGCTGTCCTCACGCCGCCGCCCCCGCTGCCTCCATCTTGAGGACATCGGACGGCGGGGTCCCGGGCAACGGCTCCCTGGGCCTGGTCCCGCGGCTCCAGCCGGCGCCGTGCAACGCCCGAGGCGGCTCACTTCGGCCTCCTCTCATTGGACGAACGGGCGCGTGACGTCAGCAGCGTACTCGCTCTCGGCGGCGTCGCCTGGCAGCCGGCGCCCGGGCGCGCGTACGCGGGTCCTTCTTCCTTTCTCGGGCTCGCTTCCAACCCCGCTCCCCCGCCCCACGCCAACATTCCGTTCCCCCGCGATCCACGTGGCTGTCGCTTCTGGGGCCGCGGTGGAAATCGGAGAGGATATAACAGGAGCCAGTTGGAGGAGAAGAAGGCCAGGCGGAGACGGCGTGGCACACGTTTTTGATCCTGGTTATCCCGTTATCTTCCAGTGCGCCCATCCCCCTTCACTGGCCGCGGTCCCTGTCCGTTACCTCTGCGGCAGTGCAGTCCTTCCACCAGCGTCCCTGAGAGATGGGCTGGCGGCGGCTTTCCCTGCAGGGCAGCGCCGCGGAGGGTCTGAACTGGCCGTCCGGAGACTTCCTAAGCCGAAGACGAGACGACTGACTGCCTCAGAGACCGTCGCCGCTGACCATCAATCCGACCAGAGCGTCTGCGGAGGGTGGGCCCTGGGAAGGAAGGACAGAGAAGAAAGATGTAAGATTCAGCACTTAAGTGGATATTCGAGATTTAAATGAGAAGGAAGTAAAAAAGCTGGGATAGGAAAGGTGAGGGAGATGAATTTGCCAGATAATTGGAAGATGAATAGTGGGTTAAACCCCGAGTGTATTACCACCGTTAGTCCATCTATGAGGAGGTGATTGTTAGCCCCCACCCATTTTACAGATGCAAACACTGGCGCACAGAGGCAAAGAAAGTTGCCTGGAGTGACACAATGAAGCCTGGTTTGTCTAATACTAATCTCTAAGCCCCAGGTCACTTCTCTGTACCATGCCACCAAGATTGCTAAGGTTGGAAGGGGACGGACGTATGAGTTCCCTGATGTACAAGAAGGGGGAGTTGGGGCGGGGAGCTCAGGAAAGACTTCAGGGAATTTTGGGAAGGGTAGCACCTTGACCAAGCCATAGAGTCAATGAAGCCACGTTGCCCAGCAACGTTGTTAATTCCTCAGGCCCTCTGGCTCCTTGATGTTACTCGTAAATGCTGATGTGGCTCCAATCACATGGACACCGCAACAGTTCTACCTCTAGTCCTACAAGGGTTCAGATGTTCCATACCTAAAAGTGAGACCAGTTCTGGTTTCAAGGAGCCAGGGCAGATCTGGAAGATCTTCAAGCCACCACTGTTTGTCTTGACTCTGGGTGATTCTAGAGCAAAATCAGAGTTCTGCCCCATTCTGACCCAGCTAGAGAAGGTGCAGAACGTTGGAACCAGGCCCATCTCATCTCTCTTACTCATGCCCAGGTGTAAGACCAGATGGCTTCTTTACTATGAAAATGTAAGACAGGTGCCTGTTGAGGAATCAGGCTCAAACCCCACATTCCACCTCCAAAGGAGATGGCCCTGCTGGGATTTCCAAGGGGGCTTCATACAACTTCCGCTTTGTGGTCACCTCTGGCCTCTGCTTCTGGGCGGCTGCCTCGGTTCTACACTGTTTCAACCCAGATGGAAAATGTAGACCCTTCCTCGATTTCCACCAAGAGCCTTGTTTATAACCCTTAAGCGCCATTGTAGAAAATGTTCCGCATATTGCTGAGATTCAAAATCCTCAAACTATATACTGACCCATGTGCATCTTAAAACATTCTTCAACCACCATATCACCCACGAGGCCAGTTGGCCATCTTCAAGGCAAAGAGTCCTCAGTTCAACACCCCATTTCACAGGCTCCGCCCTCTCCTCTCCTCCTCCCAGCCGTTTCTTACTCCTTAGCTTTCCGCTGGGAATCCCAAAACTTTGAAATCCATTATAGGGTCACTTGATTCCCCAGCAAAACTTGTCTCCTGAGGGGTGCACTCCAAATTCACAAACGAGCTCAACACACCTTTTGGGAAGATAAGAAAAACATGTTTCTCTTGTGTTAAAAATGGCAACATTAATTGAACACTTATAATAGTAATAGTTATGGAGAATTGACTATGTGCTGGGCACACTGTTAAGCATTTCATGCACCTCATACCATTTAAAACTTGAAATGTCAAGAGTGTCGGCCCTGCCTCTGCCCAGGCCTGGTCCAGCCCCTCGCTGGCTGCTCTCATCACAGCCTACCTGGCCAGTCCACTCTATGTTTCAACCCTGTCAATATCTGCCAGCTCAGAGGGCTTTGTTATTTTGCCTTTCACTGGGTCATTCAGCTAACCCAGGGTTTCCTAACCTCGGCTCTATCACCATTGGGAGCTGGAAAATTTCTTATTGTCGGGGCTGTCCTGTGCATTGCAGGTGGTGATACTGTATTCATAGAAGCTTATTATTTTTAATAACATTCCCTGGAAGAATATAAATTCAGTAACTTTTTTTCCCTTTAATATTAATGCTGGTTCATAGACACTTAAAAGTCTGAGAACCTTTGGCCCAGTTTGAAAATCTATGATTCTCGGTAGGTATTTGAAGGAAGAAGGTACTTAGCCTGCCTGCTGACCTTTTAATGAGCTTTAAATGACATCATTGAAATTAAGCTGCCCCAACAGCCTTCCTGGGAAGTATCCATTTCAAGGGTAAAGGCTGCTGAATACAGGAAGATGTAAGACAAGCATTTTCACCAAGTAGAGAGAGGCATGGGTCACTTCTGCTGCTGAACTCCGAGTCCTTCCTAGTGACTACCTAATAGGATGAGAAAGCTAAGCATGTGGATATGGAGAGTTTGTAAGTAGCATGAAAACCACCTTGATAAAAATGATACAGTAATATAAAATAATGCAAATATAGCAACATATGGGGAAAAGCACGGAGAAGTTTTGAACAGTTGCCTAAAATTGATACATTAAACCATTTTGTGAACTGTGAGAATTCAAATTTAACAACTATTTTTGAGCATCCAGCATGTGCCCAACTCTGGGGATGCTGAATGAGTAGGACAGAGCCTTCACCATTGGGGTGCCAGGCCCAGGTAGAAGCCGACAAACACCTACATAACTGATGTTAAGAGATCGTACCCAGTGTATTGTGGGAACAGAGCCTTCTGGGGCAGGGCGAGTTGATTGCAAGGACTAGAAACTGCCTCAAGCTAACTTAACTGAAATTGGATTTATGTGAAGGAGACGGGGGAATCTGCAAGAACTCAGCTGCAAGATGTTCAGCTGGTGAACTCTTAGAAACCTGGGAGTGAAAGGAGATGTTTCTCTCTCTCACTCCTTCTGGCCCTGCCCCTACCCAGTATCTTGTCTCTACATCTCTCTGCAAGTCTGTGCCATTTTCCTCCATAAGGCTCTTGGTTCCTACTTCCCCATAGTCTCAGCGTGCAGGCAGTCTTGGAAGGCACCAGCTCTGCACCCAAATCTAGAGGGTCCTATGTTTCTGGCGCCTAATGTAACCTGGAATATGCTTTTTTTTTTTTTTTTAGCTGAGCCATCCAGCCACTGGTTGGCAGCTCAGCGGCAGCTCAGCTAGGGCCGTGAATCAAACCGGGGACCCTGTTGCTCAGAGCTCAAACTCTTGAGCGAGCTCTTAACCAACTGAGCCACTTGGCCGGCCCTTAATGTATGTAACCTGGTATTTCCATTTCAGTGCTGGGAGAGAAACCCAAGGAGGTTCTACTAATGCTATCAGTTAGGTTTGCAAGGGTTTTCTGGGCTGCTGGTGGATGAGGCAACGTTTCCAAGGATGGGAAGAGGATTGAGAATTAGCATAGATGGGCAATTCTAGTTCAGTGGGCGAGGAAAGGTTAGTTCTGGCTGGGGAAAGTGGGAAGCTTCTTGGGGCAAATGGAATTTGCTTTGGTCTTTGATGCTTAGAAGGGAAAGGCATTCTAATTAGAAGAAGGCCAAAGCTCAGAAGTTGGAAATCCGACAGAGCTTGGGGAAATTGAGACCAGGATGGCTGGAGGGTGGTATGAATAGGGTCAGTGCAGAGAGGAAAAGGGAGAGGTAAGACAGCTATGTAGGGTTTGAACATCAGGGCAAGTTAGGCTTCTATTCTGCAGTTTTTATAAAGTGGCCAAGCCAAAGGTTTTTAAGCAAGAGCATCACTTTAACCCTTTTCCTTCTACCATCCAAGTCACACTGTTGCTAGAGTGATCTTTCTCCAGTACAAATGCAATCTTGTCACTTGGTTGCTAAAAATTCTTCAATGGCCGCCCCCACAGTCATATTAATAAAAACGGCTATCATTCATCAAGCATAGTAAGTGGGAAACATTGTGTTAAGCACTTTAGAAGTTCTTACATTCTGACAATTGCCCTTTGGGGTAGGTAGTTATCATCTCCATTTCATGGATGAGGAAACAGACACTTAATGCAGATAAGTAACCAACAAAGGTCACTAGTTAATAAGTAGAGGAGCAGAGGTTTGAACAAGCTCCATCTAACTCCAAAGCCTCTCATTTTAGGGGGAATGTCCCTTTAGGATTTGATCCAAAGTCATTAGTGTGGCAACTGGTGCCCTTTGTGATATGGGCTTTGCTTACACTTCAGCCTCCTCCCTCAAGTGCACTGTCAAAAAATCTTGTTGCTTCTACCTTCAAAATACATTTGGAATTGAACCACTTCTTACTGATTCACCATCCTGGTTCAAGCACCACCTTGGGCCTGGATTATTGGCGTAGTCTCTTAACTGGCCTGTCTACGTCTGCCCCTGCCACCTTGATGTCTTTTCAAACATAGAAACCAAAGTGACCATGCTAAAGCACACGTTTGCTCATGTTACTCATCTGCTCCAAAACACCAGTGATTCCTGTGGTGGGCAGAATAATCTCCCGCCTCCCCTGTCTCCCACCAAAGATGTCCATGTCCTAATTCCCAGAACCCATGAGCATATTACTTGACCAAGGAGAATTAATGTTGTAGAGGGAATTAAGGTTGCTAACCAGCTGGCCTTAAGCTAGGGACATTATCCTGGACTGTCCAGTTGTGCCCCATGTAATACAAGGGTCCCTAAAGTGGAAGAGGGAGGCAGAGGGAAGATGAAAGTGACATGATGTGA